GAAAGACAGACAGACAGACAGACAGACAGACAGACAGACAGACAGACAGACAGACAGACAGACAGACAGACAGCTAGCAAAATGGATGGATAGATAGAAAGATCAATCGATAGATCGATAGATAGATAGATTGATAGATGGATAGAGGGAGAGTGGGAGAGAACGAGAGAAACTGATTGAAACGAAAAACTTAAAAATTTATTCGTTAACAATACCACTTATTGGCTTTTAAATAGGCCTAGCTGAAAACACCTAATTGCAACTGGTTATACATTGGTTTGACGAAATATGTACGAATCAGCAACGTATGATTTAATACAAGATAACATCGGTACGTTTAGAGTGACTTTCTGAAGCTCAATTTTTTTCAACAAAGTATAATTGTGCTTTGGATATAATAAACAAATTAAACTTTCAATGTTCAAGTGTTGACACGGGTTAAAAAAAATTCTAAAAAGCAAAATGTAGAAACGCTTTTAGAGTTTGTTTGAAGCACCACAGACACACAGAGGCATGATTAATCCATTTTCTATGAGATTTATAATATGAATATTAAGTCTGCATACGCAGACAATACATTCATCGAAATGTAACATTTCTGAACCCTTTTACAGTTATAAAAGACAACAATATATGCCTGTACATCGCCTAGACTCTCAAAAGAATTGCAACAACTGTAATACAGCGCACAGTGATTATCCAGTTTACTGTTTTTATTCTTTAATGTTTGTCAACCGCCTCTGGAAATATATGGATTGATGAGGAGTTGGAAATTACCAACTTTCTGAATTAGAAAAAAAAAGAAGCATTAATAAATCAAGCTAGGGACAAAAAGGCAGACGTAAAAAATAGACTAATTGGGGTTGGTTTTAAAAAAGTGGAAAAGGGTTTATAAAGGGGGTGGGGGGGATGCTGGAAGAATTGTAAAAGGGAATGAAGGAAAAAAAGTAACAAAGCTGAATGGATGAATTAACATTCGTGGAATATGTATACCAGTCGTGCAGCCACCTCATGATACGAGTACAGAACAAAATGTTAACAGGACAAGCCAGACTGCTCTACTCCTAGCTAAGATTTATACGTCCCAGTCAAACTTTTCTCCGGTAAGCTCCAAAAACCGGTTTGTGTAGGGCTTCAGGAAGTTTAGTAGTTTCTCTTTTACGTCTGGATCCACTTCCACGTGGTGCCTCCCTTTGCTACCGTCCATGCACTTTGTGTCGCTGTTGTCTCTCAACTTGTAGCAGTAAAAACCCTTTCTCTTGTCGAAGTAGACGTCTTCCTCCGAGAAGTACTGGCGAATTCCCAGAAAGCGCTCTACTCTTCGCAGCTGCGACAGAGGGTCGGAGACAAATTTATCTCCGTCAAGGAGCAGGACTTGTTTTCTGATTACAACAGAGAGAAAAGAAAAGGCGTGGTTATTACTTAATTGTTCTCCAGCACATAGAAGAATAGTGATTTTTGCAAAAGTAATTTGATGTTTTTAATTGCTTTTAAGGAAATACATGTATATCATCATCATCATCATCATCATCATCATCATCATCATCATCATCATCATCATCCAGAGCCAGATCTGCGACAGACATCGGCGATCATGGTTCTCCATTCATTCCTTTGCTCGGATGCTCTTTAACAGCTACTTTTCCCTGATCTTTCCACGTTATCCATTTTGTTTAGGTTCCCTAAGTAGGTTGCTCTGGGCCTACCCCTGCCTCGTTTGCCTTCAATTTTCCCAATGAAAGCTTGGCGTTCAAGACCTTTATGTATATCCAGGTGTCCCAAAAGCTGCATTTGTCGTTTCCTGATTGTTTTTAACAGTGAGCGTCCCACGTGGGCTTCACTAAGTACTGTTTAATTTGATTTCTTTTCCTTCCACGATATTCTCAGCAGATATTCTAAGAAACCACATTTATGTTGCTTCTATTTCATTTTCAATGTCTTTAGTGATTGTCCAGCATTCACGGCCATATATAGAAAGGTTAACCATACGTAGTATTTCAGAACTTTCATTTTGGTAGTCATTGAGGTGTTTCTATTTTTCAGGATTGGGCTCATTTTATTAAAACTAGCCTTAGCCATTGCAATTCTCCATTTTACTTCTGGAGAACATGTGGCATCAGATGTTTTTATATATCTTATATATTTGAACTGTTCGACTTGTTTGATCCTTTCACCTTTGCTAATGCGATTACAATGGGATTTGCCGCTTTTTTGGGGTTGTTGCCATGCATTCTGTTCTCTTTACATTAAATGATGATCTTTTACGTTTACTATCCGTTACAACAGTCTCTAGAAGTGATTGAAAGTACTTTTCTGAGTCTGCTATTAAAACGGTGTCATCGGCATATCTGATGTTACATAATTTGTATTAATATTTTCGCCATTCACTTTGAAACCTGGACATTCTTCTATGTTTCTAAGGATTGTATCACTGTACATGTTAAAGAAGTCTGGTGACATAACACATTCGAGCTTCACCCCTTTTCCAATTTGCTTACAAATATTCGTTGTATTCTCCATTAATTCGGACAGTAGCGTTTTGGTAAAGAAATATATAAAATCTATTAAGATAATCAAGGAAGTAGGCCTGTTCAATCCAGCCTTCAAGGCCAACCCGGGTTAAAAGGGATACAGCGATGAAAACTCAAGAAAAATTATCTTCGTACAGGAATGGAACTCCCATCTCCTGCATATGTGTGACTGCGAAACGCCCAACATTCCGTTACACCACAGGCGCCAATACGTCAAGGACATACCTTTCAATATTAACTTACTTTGAGAAAACGCTGTACACGTATTCCATTCTGTCTGCATAGTTACCCCACTTCAAGACGTTGTGTTCACTAATCTTGCCGCCAGGGATGTAATGTTTTTCAAAGCTGTCTACATCTTTGCCAAAAACTCTGGAAACCTGTTGGGAGACTGTAATCAGCGAATTTTGTTCTGCAAACAATGATATTATGTATTAACCCTGTCTACTCTGTTATTCCCTGCTTTCAGCAAAACTGCCCCCTCCCCTTTTCTTAGATTTCCATCTATGTCTTAATTATATTAGTGAAAGTTGTCTCTTTGGTTGCCTAAAACTTCCGAACCACTAAACTTTCGAATTTGAAAAAAATAATGGTGGTTCAGAATCATTTAAAGGGTACACAGTAATATCAAGGAGTCTGAAATCACTGTAGTTTAATTTTCAGTTTTTCATTAGTTTCTTTTAGATCTAATCTTTGGAAATTCTGTCTTCTAAGACGCCATTGTACACAAGTGATGCTTCCGTTCACAAGCAGTGTGCACTGTTTCGACAATGACTTGACGTTCGATTCTATAGAGACTGTTCATCGAACGGGTACCCAGCAATAGTGCGGTCAAAAATTCGTGGCGCAAATAATCCTCAAATATCTTTTTAATGGGTGAATCAGTGCCACCCTTATTTTGCACAGCAGTTTGTATCTATTTCTGTTAACCTAATCACATTTTCCCATTTATAATTGAGGCTAAATTTAAAAACTTTTCTTTATTAATTTATATAAAATACATGTACTACAAATTTCCTTCACGTGGAAAACGGAATAGTTCACAGCACTTCCCGCTTCTCACTCACATTTTGCGTACGCATGTTATGACCTACGTCACAGCTCACCAATGACACATTTAAGTGACAAAACTAGTTACAAGAAATTAATTTTATAGTGAACACTTTTTTTGCATTAAAAGTTCTCAAAACAAGTGTTCAATAAGCATAATCTCACGATTAGAAAAAAATGACGAACTTGCTTTCAAAAGTGATATTGTTCCCCTGTAACTGTAAACCTTTTAAAATCTATAGAAACCACCCGCTGGGATTCCTTTGTTATTAATAAATGTTCTAGAATAAAGCCAACAGGTGTTCACAAAAACATTGATCTGTTAAGACAAATCATTGATACAAGTCACACTGCAAAAGCTGGAGAGTTTATGTTAGAAGGTTGAGGAGTTGTTTGACAATAAGTTTGCGCTACGAATTTTTTACCGCAGTATAATATACTGAACGCCATTAAAAACGCAACGGGGGCTCTCGTGGCCTAGAGGTTAAGATGTTCACCTCTCATTCAAAGTTTCAGGATTCGAATCCGGATACTGACGGAAACATTTTCTTTTCTAAAAATGTCTCCTTTCACCTCCTTTCCTGCACTCTACCAATGTTCTGTCGTCTACTTTCGTTTCCACTTTCTGCCCCCACTCCCTCACCTCCTTTGTACCCTCTGGGCTCCTGATTTTTTTCTGCAGCCTTTCTACTGCTACCCATTGGCTCCTTCTTACTGCTGTCTTTCAGCCACACCCCTGATCTTCTGGTAGGAAAGATCTACACCTAGCCTTCACGGACAAGGGCGAAAAATCTCGGAGGTCCCGTGGGCAAGTTGCACATGTTAAAGATCTCTTGATGCTCTAAAATCGATTAGAGTAGGTTTCGGCCGCCACCCGGGCAAAATTCAAAATTTCCTTACTACTGAAAATGGTTGGTGTGTCCCGTGCGCTCATATGACCTTATGAAGTTACGAGCACCGTAAAACACTTACAAGGAAACCCCCCCCCCCCCACAAAAAAACAATAACAAAAAACGCAACGTTTTTAAAAGACTATAAGAAGAAAGCTAAATCATAATATGCTCTGATCGCCACGATACTTGGAGACAGAGGTAAGTGCATGTAGTTGCTTCACATACCGATGCACGATTTTTGCTATTTCCACGAGTACTTTTCATCCCAGCACAGTGACCCATGATTTGGTAAAGTGTGTTAATGAGACAACATATTACTCACCAAAAGAATTTGATTCACTTACAAGATGATAAGTGGCTCTTCCCAAACAAGTCCGGACACTTCTGCGATCAGTTTTGATTTTTCTTTCATTACAAGACGCGTAACTTAGCGAAGCTGACCGCAAGTTTTTGCCTCCGCCTTATTTCAAGGCGGAAATTTTGCCCGAGAAGCCGCAAGACGGCTAAAATGCAGTGTGTGTTTTGTTTCTCGACTGATCCAAAGGTTTTAGCACGTTTTCAATGTCCAAGATAGGACAGCCTCAAGTGACCAACCCTGCTCGAGACAGACAGATTATGCTGTCACATCTGCGGAATCGTTTCCTTCTTGCAAAAGTTACAGCTCAAGGCGAGCAAGGAGGTGTGAAAATGTTTCTTCCATCAATGTGAGGCGCCGAATAGTAATCCAGGACTTAAAACAAGAACGTCTTATTTGGAACTGCTATTAACGAATCCGGAGCAACAGCGCTGTATTATCTGTGCACGACAGCACGGGGGGGGGGGGGGGGGGGGGGGGGGAATAGTTTGCCCATACCTGCCTTAAAGTTTACTTTTTTTTCCTTTCCATTACCCATGGTCTTTTAAGTCTGAAGAATCATGAAGTCTAAACCACAATGGATTCCCTTATGTCGAGCATAACATTTTCCCATGGGGATCTGTACTATCGAAAACACATTAAAATAAACACTATAAGGCTTTGATAACAACATGAAAAAGTGACGGTTTCGGAAAGGAATTAAGTTCCAGTTGTCTCTGGTTGGTTGTTTTAACTTTTGCTAAGTAAATGCTCCTGCATAGTTCCCTTTCAAATACGTTTTGAATTAGTACGACAAAGGGAAACAACTTTAAGTTAATTAGAAGCAGAAAAGACCCAGAATGGTCCTATCTTGATTTCAGCGAGGAAAACACTGTCGGTAACGGAGAAGAAAGTGATTTACTGGGGACATAGATTGCTACGTCCGCTGCTGTCAGCTACAAAGAGGGAATTGAGTTGAAACCCATTTTTCTTATAAATTGAGTGTAAAATCTCACTACTGAAACAAGATAGAAGTAATAGCAACATAGTTAAATGGTATTCCTATCTATTTCAAGTTGTTTCAAAATCTCGGGGACATACTGTTTCTGCTACTTTTATCTACAAAAGTCATTTATTTGACTTGGGGTTTACTTCCTTTCCGCTCCCGAATTTTCCTATCCGTTACCTCAGCTTCTTTTCTGAGACCAGTTTCCTCTCCGTTACCAACACTTTCAAGGGTTGCTAAATGGACTCCGCTAATACAATGCCATTACTTTTGGATTCCAGCACAAGCCCATGCTGACCACTGTCTGTACAGGTGGTTTTACGCATGTATCTAGCTTTGCTTCTAAATTATCAGAGACAATATGTACATACATAAAGGCCTATATTTCCACTTCTGTTCAGAATTAAGCTTCATTATTATTTTACACCACAGTGGCGAAGACGTGCCCAATTTATCATACAAAAATTGAGGGATAAGATGACAACTTCATTTTTCTTTTCAAAAATGGCTATGCCAAATTTCTACAATTTTTCAAAAAGTGTCACAACATGATATATATATATATATATATATATATATATATATATATATATATATATATATATATATATATATATGTACATATATAATATATCACATAAGCAAACAGGTTCACACAGACACACTAACACATAAACAAACACGTGGGCACTCATGAATTCATATTTACTCTCTAAAACATAAACAAAGACACAGAATAAAAGATACAAACCCATGTCCAAAACCAAGCATGCCTTACTCGACCATCTGCGCACGCGCGCGCGCGCGCACACACACACACACACACACACACACACACACACACACACACACACACACACACACACACACACACACACACACGGCAGAATCTCCTACTAAAGAACAGTGAGCTGCGACTAAGTGCCAATATGTAAGGGTTTTACCGATAAATAATGACTGTATGCCGATAGAAGCCTTGTGATGGGCTCTCTCACGATGACCATAACCATGATGGAGCTGTTCATGGCTCGAATCCGGTACAAAGCTTCAGGGTCGCTTATGTAAAAGGGGGACTTTTCAAGGGTCACTTGGTTGCTTGTGGACACAGGCATAATTTGACGATACCTTTGGATTAGAACACCAACAATGTTATCTTTTTACTTTTTGTCGTAATCGAACCAAACAGTCTGGAATTATTTGCTTTTGTATCGGTCGGTTTAAATATCTATTGGACACAGATATTTCATATTATAATATGGCAAAAGAAGCATACAGTTAAGTGGTTTGAGTGAAGAAAGGGAAAGACCCAGCAAAGAGGGAAATGGGTAGGTAATATATCCGGAAAAGAAAATTTTGATACCACACAGTTCTTCCTGGGACCAGCTGCTCTTACATGGTGTTTAAAGAAACTCGCAAGCAGTTCATGGGGGTCAGACAAACAAACTTTGAGAGCTCTATACCTGGGTTATGTCCGATCTTCCCTGGAATACAGCAATAGCCTACTCACTATGTGCAGTACAACTACTTGCAACACCCTTGACAAGGTCCAAAACAATGCCCTTCGTTTTATAAATGGCGGCATGAGATCCACACCTACCGCCGCGTGCGAAATCCTTGCAAATGTTGAACCCCTGGGAATCCGCAGAGATAAAGCAGTTTTGGAGCTACATGAAAGAACTAAAAGAATGTGCCCCAACCACCCAAACAGGAAATTAGTAGAAACATGGAAACCAAAGAAACGAACTGAACAAAAGTCAATCATGCATCACATCACAGAACTAATGGAGAGCCACCATCTACCACAAAATAGAAAAGAAACCAAAAGAGTCAACCAAAATATCCCTCCCCACCTTTCTTTAAAAAAGCCAATCATTACAACATCTCTCAAAGACAAGAGCACAAAATCTTCAGACCCAGTGACGCTGATGCTTGCATCACATCAAACAATCGACAGCTATTCAGATGACTGGATACACGTCTATACGGACGGCTCAGTATTCAAAGGCACAACCAAAGCCGGATATGGAATACTAATACAGTACCCAGATGGAAGTTCCAATGAGATCTCTGCAGCCTGTGGAGAGAAATGCAGCAACTACGATGCAGAAATGATGGCAATTGAAACAGCACTGTACCATCTCCGCACAGTTTTTAACACTCATCCTGGAAAAGCACAGAGTATTGTGATTTTCTCTGACTCACTATCAGTATTACAAGCCATAGAAAATGACCATCACCTAAACCAAGATTTGACCCATATACTGTTTGGATCCCATCATCTGATAACATTCTGTGGCATCAACCTAGTAATGCAGTGGGTCCCCGGACACTCAGACATACCTGGAAATGACAGAGCAGACACACTCGCCAAACGGGGATCTAGACAGGAACAACCCAACATTCCAACTTCATACAACACTGCAAAACAAATCGTCAAAAGCAACAACAAAGAAGATTGGATGAACAGATGGGCCCTGGGAAAGACAGGCAGAGCAGTTTTCAAACATATGACTACAACAAAAAGGAATGACAATATCAACCGCCTTCAGAGAAAGAAACAGACCACGATCTTCCGCCTACGAACAGAACATATACAGCTCAACTTCCACTTGAACAGAATAAACCCGGAACTTCCCCCAATGTGTCCCTTGTGTGACTATGCATATGAGACTGTGGATCATCACCTGTTCCACTGTACAGCCGTAAATGACATCAGAGCTACCCTTCTCCCTCCGAGACCTAACATTGACAACACACTCTATGGAACATTACAGCAACTGCAGCAGACCTGCACTTATCACTACATGGCATTGGACAGAAGGGCGAGAGCCCAGCTGTTGCTGGATCGATAACAACAACAACAACAACATGGTGTTGTCCCATACAAGAGCAGTGCATTTTTTGTTTGCACAGAGTTTGCCAGCCGCTGTGTCGAAGAAGACCACACCTTCAATCTGTCTCGCCAGAGGTTAGGGTTCATCCTGCCTTTTTCTCCTTTATAGCTCAATTTCCACATCGAAAAGTTCCTGGCCGTGCGTCTAATAAGGATAAAGCTTCAGCAATTAACAGTACAGGGTTGTTGTTTTTTGTAGCTACATTTATTTAGCCTGGAGTGCATCAAGGGCATGACCCTAACATTCCTGCTCTGGTGGGTTTGTTACGTGATCCGGATTGATGATCACATGCTGCTCAAGCAGCTCATGCACGGCGAACTCTGCTCTGGGAAGCAGAACCAAGGCAAACCCCGCAAGAGATTCAAGGACTGCGAGAAGTCCAGCAATAGCCACTCTGGCACCCCTCTCGTACAGTTAAAGCTGCGCGTAATGGATAGGCCAGGCTGATGCGCCCTCACTACCCAGGCACGAGACATCTTAGAGGAGAAGAAATGCATCAACCGCTGACCCTGACCTCCCTGGGCACTTTCCTTGCCCTCGCTACACCCATGTCTGTCCATCGAGAATCGGCCGGAACAGCCATCTTTGGGCTCACACAAGAAAAATGAGGTAACAGATTATAATGATGACAGTCTTCGTCGAATCAATGGACGTCCACGAGATAGAGCATGGAACGAGTTTGGTGAGAAACCTAAGTGGAACCCGAACTTTTTCTCCGACTCTGGGCACAGGAACCAGTAATCGAAGTGGGTATTTGGCACAAAAATAAAAGCCAACCATGTCACATCTAGATTAAAGATATTTATATTAAAGAGGTTAAAGTTAGACCTTAGAAATTAGTTACAACCTGTCTAAAAATGACGTACTAGGTTGCAAAAATTAATTTGAAATGCGGGTTTGTTATTATAAAGACGACGCGGGCAAGAAAAATGTTTGTCGGTGCATTTGTGTACTCCCCCTGTTTACATCCCATTCAATTAACTTTTAGAGTACGAGGCACTATTATTATGGCACTTCGAGGGTAACAGAAAAGAATACAAACCAATGCAGTGCATATTTTCCATAAACGCGTTCACAAAAGTAATCCGTTTCCCAGTCCAGGGACACAATTTCTGGATGAATCTGAAGAAATTCAAGAAGCGCCGAAGTGCCACATTTAGAGAATCCCAAAAGAAGACACTTCGGAAACCGTTGTATGGGTACTTCGGGGGCTGATCGATTCCACCCAGGCAAATCTTCAGGTGCAAAGTCTTTCTCAAAAATTTCTCTATATTTTGTTGACCCCTTCATTTGAGTACCCCAAGATTTTGCTGTAAGTTTTTCATTTTTTGTTTCCTCCAAGTCTCTCTTCTCATTTGGAGGCTTGCAGTTATCTGAATTAAATACCCTGCTTACAGTCGTTCTGCAATGAAACCCTTGGTACATTCCTATCATGACCACTGTTATTACTACTGAGTAAAAAGATAATAAAACAACCGACGTCTTCTGCCTGAAAGATTTTAGTGTGACCATGCTGTTAGATCATTAAAAAAATGTGCAGTGTTGTGCAAATAAAGGTTACGGATACTGACTTAGACCAGTAGAAAACCAGTTTGACCCACAGGATGCACCTCGGGAATGAGTCCCCACATCCCTAAAACAGTTTCAAAAGCAGGAAAAGTTTATAGGAAAACATAATAGGGAAAGATTCTCACTTTAAAAAAAAAAGAAGAAAAGATGAACGTGTCGTTTGGTTGCTGGTAGACACGTATAAGTGTTATATTGATTTCAGTTTAAAGAGATGGGGACAAAGACATAGATCGAGGCCTGAAGCACCGTAATAAACGTTCGGGATTTCTTGACAACTGACTATTGAGCACGACGCTCAAGATGTACAAGGATCGTTAAACAGAATTAAAAACAAAAATTATTACAGGCAACCGAAGTGCTGCCATAGCCCTCTCCCTTCAACCCCTTTTTAGTTTTAGTAAGAGTTGCACGGTACCCCCTCCCCCTCTTAAAAATTATATGTTATCTAAAGAAAGCAACTCCTCCGTCCCCATCCTTTCAGCCTACAACAGTAATTAAAATACGAGACAATAGATAGATCTAGTGTTAATGCAGGTAAAATATAGGTTACAGTCCGTTTTTCGAATCAAAACGATCCTTTAAAGCTGTGTACTTTCTCAGAAGTCACTCATTACTATTATATTTTACAGCAGAAAGACGAGCGTGCAACTTTAAATGAAAAATTAATTGTGTTGTAATGAACACCATGTCTGCTAAAAAAGAAGAAAGCCAGATTGATACATACATGTAAATTATGTAGCAATCAGATCTGCATACTGCACCTTGGGCCCTTTTTCTACTTCAACGCTGTCTGATGAAGTGGAGGCTTTACATGCACACGCACCCATACATACATACAGACAGACAGAAAGACAGACACACACACACACACACACACACACACACACACACACACACACACATTCCTGTCCAAAAGCACATAAATGTATACTGTTGTTTTACTTTTAATCGGCCTTCGTCTTGCCAGTGAGCAAGCCTGTTTGAGAGAAACCAGAATTTATCAACCATTTTATAGCCAGCGCCCATTTCTTTGCCTCCTTTAAGAGCCCACCAACACCTATTTCTAAATGGAGAATAACATAATACGTATCACATCTCGTGTGGTCTCCACCGCTCACCAAAATTGACAAATCGCCCACTAGTGCGACATCGCCCAGGTTTTCTAAGCACTGAAAAAGACCACCAGAAGACAAAAGCGAAGATGCTTGATAAATAAATTAATACAATGCCCACGCGGTAACCAACACTCCGTACCGTCTTTGGCGTGCAAGGCGGGGAGTCTTACTTTTGCACCACCGACGCAAGTAAGCATCACTGGAAAGTAACAACACAAATTGGTAAGGCCTAGGTTTAATTTTTACTCGTTTTTGTTAAAGATGAGAAAGGAATGATTTGAAGATGTTTAGATTATAAAATACTAAAAGTAATAGTAATGCCCTCCTTCGAGCAGTAGGTATAGAGGGAGTAGGCTAAAGACCTATGTATTTCTTTATAAAACGTACGGTTATAATCATAATTATCAATACAATACTGTTTTAACCTAAAATGCAAAGCAAAAAATACACGAGCGTTAAAGAAAATGAGGACAACGATGTCAAAAATAAGTACCTAATCCCCCATGAAATGGTTGCGCAGTACACATAGATCTA